TTCATATGGTAACACTTCCATGTTACCAACACTGGCCACTGCTCATACATACTTATTGCCAAAAGTTACTCATGTGACACAGCATCCATCAAAGTATGCTCAATTCATGAGATCCATCACCTGCCTGCCCAAGCTTCCTCACATCCTCCCCTTTATATGGATCCCAGTCTTAGATGCCTACGCCAACGCCATACGGTGTGTGTGACGTCATCTGCCCCAGCGGTACACGATTTTGCATGCACTATGGCCCCCACCACCATAATGATAGAGGAGGCCACATATGTCTGAGAAACACTGTGGCTGCGCAAGGCAAACCACTAGGACAGTGGCTTCCAGTGGCACCTAATGGCACCACAGCCTAGCCTCTGCTGGATCCCAACATAGAGACAGATGGCTTTCTTAGTGCAAGGCATGTAAGTGTGTTATGGTCTCATCTGATTCTTTTTCAAGCTCCATATGAACTAGTATATGCACTATTGTTTCAGAGCACCCTGTCTTTTCTTTTGTTGGGGTCCCCACATTCAGGCCTCCATCAACTGCTGGACTGCATTCATTACCACCACCTTATGTGCAAATGCATTGAGTTGGTTTTATAAGTTATCTGATATTGTTGCCTTGGTAACATTTTTTACTTGTGTCATAGAACTATATTATATTTGAGGATTTATGCATATCAGTTGTATAATGTCTGTTTCTTTACTTATTTACAAATATTCATTATAGCTCCTGAATAGTGATGGGCCGAGCACCCCCCTGTTCGGTTCACGGTCCAACATTCAAACCTAACAAAAGTTTGACTACGAACTTCGAACTTAATGCAAGTCTATGGGACTCAAACTTGTAAATTCAAAAGTGCCAATTTTAAAGGTATTTATGCAAGTTATTGGCCATAAAAGGGGTATGGGGACTCAGGTACTTCCCCGAGGGACATGAATCAGTGACATTTTTTTCTAAAATGTACCGTTTTTAAAGGGGCATCCTTTTTCATTGCTTAAAGTAAAAAAAAAAACCAATTAACAATTCCTTTAAATTTCATGCCTGGGGGTTCCCCTTAAACTACCTGCAAAGCTGCATATATGTACAATATATAGAACCTGCTGCAGCAGGACTGACATTTGTTTTAAAAAATTACATTGAGAAGAACAAAACAGTGTGGGGTCCCCCCCCCCAATCCATACCAGACCCTTTAGGTCTTTAGGTAGGAAGGATAGGAGGGACCCCACAGCCAATTTTTTTTTTTAAAAAATGTGTGTGGGGTTCCCCCTAAAAGCCATACCTTTAAGCCTGGCAGGACTTTTAAGGTGAACCCCACCTCCCAAAAATGGGGGGGAAAAAGTGCTTGGGGTTCCCCCTAAATTCCTACCAGACCCTTGATCCAAGCCCAGGCCTGGCAGTCCAGGAAAGTGGAGGGTTGAGCGCGTCCCCCCCCCCCCAAAATGTATTAGGCCACATGCCCTCAACATGGCGGGTGCTTTGTCCCCATGTTGATGAGAACAAGGGCCTCTTCCGCACAACCCTGGTCTGTGGTTTTGGTGGTCTGTTGGGGGTGACTTATTGTAATCTGGATGCCCCCTTTAACAAAGGGGACCCAAGATTCCACCCCAGCCTTGTGAATGAGTATGGGGTACATACCCCTACCCATTCACCAAAAAAGTGTAAAATGTGAATAAAAACACAAAAGTTTTTGACAAGTCCTTTCCTTTTAAAAAAAAAAAAAAAAAGACAAAAAATCGTTCCATCATTGTAATCCATCGTCAATCATGGCGTCCATCATTGTCACGATGACGACTCACCGAAATAAAATTCAAAAACGACGCCTGCCGACCCTTTTGCACCCACCAAGCACTCACTGCTATCTGATATTTGCCAGTCAGATGTAAACAATTGGGCGGAGCTAGCGGTGGCATCACTCCTCTGGTCAGGTGCATTATTTTGGCCAATCACAATGCACTGTCAGAGCGAAGTGCATTGTGGGGTGTGGCGGGGGAACAACCCGTCGAACGCCCTTACCATTTGTGTGCTCGCCAAACACACGAACGCCAGATGTTTGAGTCGAACTTACGTTCAACTCGAACATCAAGGACATCGCTACTGAAGAAGCGATAATTATCGCAAAACATGTTGAGTTTCGACCTAAATACATCAGTCTAGCACCTTGCCAGGCTATGGTCGACGCACAATATTTGGGGGTCTTGATAGTACCTGGGCAGTTTGGAAATTTTGTTTTAATATGTTGTAATCATGATTTTGAACAATGTTTTACCTGTGAATTCTCAGTTTTAATGGTAATTTGTAGTGCTTATAAAGTCCATGTCTCCTTCAAAATTCATAGTATTGCCATCCACATGAAACACTTCCCCAATAAAGTGTGAACTCCAATGTTCCTATATAGTCATATTTACTTAAATCATACCTGATATCACTGACCGAATATGAATACGACCAGAGAGGACCCAGAGATGGTATTTGGCTGGTGTCAATCGGCAAGTTCAGGCATGTTGGTGGGTTATAGGTTTTTTCTTTTGGTTGATGTCAGGCATCATGATCAACATGGATCTGCATCACTGGACAACGTCAAAAACTGTGTGTGTGTGTGCAAGGGAACTCACTTTATTACTGTTTACATATTTTATTTATGAATGGGGGTATTATCTGGGGCCACCTTATAGTTAATGTGGGCTTCAAGATTCTGATAAGCCCCCCCTACTGTAAACAACCACAACCACAGGGCCAGGATTGAGTGGAAGAGGCCATTGTCCTCATCAACATGGGGTTTTAGGAGGGACCCTATGATTTTTTTTATTTTTGTTCATTTTTTTTTTCATGAGGTCACCTTTAATTGCATATCGGTCATAAACAGTCTGGTATGGAGTTTGGGGAGACCCAATAGCATTTTTTGGGGGACCCCTCTTAAAATACGTATTTTCTTTTCTTTACACTCTCGTTTACATTAGCCCAGTGAAACATATTACAAATATTATAGGTATTAAACATTACATTTGCATGAATGATGAGGAGTTTGTAAAGTAATTTTTTTATAAATAGACCCCTACATGTTGTGATGAAACATGCAATACTGCGCACTTAATTGCAATCTGTGGCAACGCACCTATCATTTTTCAGGAAGTACCCCACAAAGCACATTAGCGCATTGCCAAACATTAGGTAATGTATTTTGCTGTAAACTGTGATAAAGGGTGCAGTAATACCACAACAACATAGTATAAATGGGCCTTAAAGTGTTACTAACGCCTCAACAGTAAAATCAGTCTGTATATGCAGTAAAGCATGCTTGATATACTCACTGTGGACCCTAAGGAGTTAATCCTCTGCATTGTGTAAAAAGGATGTTTGATCCTCTATTCTCTGATTCTCCCCTTCTTCCAGTGTCTCCCAAATATCTCCTGATAAAACAGAGGCTAGGGACAAGCTGCACATGCTCAGTTTAGTGTGTACTGCTAGAGAGTTTTTTTTCCTTGCGAGAGTGCATGTGATTAGCACAGGGCCAATCAGCACTGTCCAGACAGAAGTCAGATGTCCTACATCCTGCTACAGGAGAATGAAAACTCTTCCTACAAGCTGTAACCAGTGCTCTGCTGAACACTGATAGAAGTCACAAGACTGCTCTAACTGCTGATGAGAAAAGGTATGTAGCAGTTCATATTTACTAAAATAATTTCATTTCCATGTTCTGTGTACTATGGAGGGACCAGATATAGTGAATGCAGGCTCCTGGGTTTAATAAGACTTTAAGGATAATTTATAGATACTGCAACCGAGATGGTCAAGGTAGGTAATTATTGTATCACAAGGTTGTTTATTATACAGAGAGAAAAAGGTTTTATTCTAAAAAACAAAAACCCTCTATTACAGTAATTATTACAAAACAACACTGAATATCCCAACCTCCAAAATAAAACAACAGCATTCCAACTTTAAACTTCAATTCAAGGCTGCCTTTAAATTGACCAATGAAGTGGACCCTCTCTCCATAGCACATGAGTCAAATGCTAATTTGAATAAGGAAAGGTGGGGGAGAAAACTACAAATGCTTACCTTATTCCCTACTCCTACAAGTTTCCTTTTCTTTGTGCGTTCTGTCTCCCGAATCTACTTCAAAAGCCTTTTGCAGCTCTAAATTCACCACATACAATGCAGGGCCAACAGTTCTGCATTGTATACAAAGACAGCAAGGGCTCCCCCACAACACAGAGTGCCAGACAGTGGAGGAGAGCTGTGTAGTGAAGTGAAGTAGCTTTGAAGAACTGGCCGCAAAAAGAGACATTAATCTGCAGGAACTGCAGGATACTCAAAATGGCATCCAAGATAAGGTAGTATACAGTATATGACCCAGGAAAGGTAGTATGTGGGGTTGATTTACTAAAACTGGAGAGTGCAAAATCTGATGTAACTCTGCAGAGAAACCAAACAGCTTTTTTGTCACAGCTTAATCACTTACCTACCGGGCACTTTTACTTCTTTCCTGCCCATGCCAATTTTAGGCTTTCAGTGCTGTTGCACTTTGAATGACAAAGGTCTTGAAACACTGTACCTATATGAAATTTGTATCATTTTTTTCACACAAATAGAGCTTTCTTTTGGTGGTATTTAATCAGCAGAGTGTTTTATTTTTGCTAAACAAACAAAAAGCCTGAAAATTTTGAAAAAAAATGTTTTCTTTAGTTTATATTATAACATTTTGCAGACAGGTAATTTTTCCTCCTTCACTGATATGCATTGATGAGGCTGCACTGATGAGCACTGCTAGGCAACACTGATCGGCACTGATTAGGTGGCACTGAAAGGCAGCACTGATAGACGGCACTGATGAGGCAGCACTGGTGGGCATTGATGAGGGAGCACTGATTAGGCTGCACTGATATGCGGCACTGATGGGCACTAATAAGCGGTACTAATGGACACTAATAGGCAGCACTGAAGGGCACTGACTGGCAGCACTGACTGGTGGCACTGACTGATGGCACTGAATGGCGGCAGTGATGGGCACAGATTGGCAGCACTGATGAGCACAGATTAGCAGCACTGATGGGCACTGAATGACAGCACTGTTGAGCACTGATGGGCAGCACTGATGGACACTGATGGGCATTTTTGGGGCTGCACTGATAATCATGGCACTGATAATCTGTGCCTTGATCATCAGTGTAGATGACTCCTTTCACAGTTGTTGCTTATCAGCAGTACTTTCCTCATGCTGTAATAGAAAAGTAAAGTACTGCTAATAATCGGCAAGTGTATTTACATGGTGATTAACTGTGATTGGACACAGCTAATCACATGGTAAAAGGCCACTGTGTTTGGCCCTTTACCGTGTCATGTGATCAGCTGTGTCCAAAGGACCCAGTGATCAAAAACAGTGTCGAGTGCATGCTGCTGGTGGAGCACGGGGGGGAGTTCTCAGAGGACATTATAAGAGACCTTCCCAGAATTGGACAACCGTGCGGTAGCCATCATTCAGAAGTGGTTAATCAACAAGCTGAAGTTAGAAGCTGATTTGCTATCATGCACATCTGCGCCAGATTTTGCATTCTCCAGTTTTAGGAAATCAACCTCCCTTATGTGCAAGATTTAGATAATTTGCTGAATATTTTTCTTTTATTTGATTATGCAAGGGAGCTGAGAATATTTGAACTGGCTGAGTAGATAACAAGTCCAGCTGAATTAGGTCTGGTTGTTCTGGGGTTTATAAAACTCCCAGCTTTCCCAAGGATTTTGCTCCACCCTGGAACCAGGTTCTTTGTATATGTCTGTCTGGGGAGCGAAAACCTACTTGAGCGCTGAAAGACAGCCTATGCTGCAAAGACTTTACTTTGCACAGAGTTGGACAGCAGTAGGTTGCTCCAAGTCTGTTAGCCAAGGACTCTGTAGGTTAGTAAGTCACTAAATGGTAAGGATTTATTTTCATATATTTTTTTTTCTGTACATAGTGTACACATTCTTTTTAAATGACCTGCATGTATATTTCACTAAGAACAGTTTTTTGCTGTGATTGTTTAACGTATTATAAACTCATCCAGAGAGTCACACACACATCCTCCTGCCTAGCTAATCCTTCTCAAGGGTACATTTAAAAAGGGTGTGTCCAGAGCGGGGGCAGACTGACAACTCATGGGGCCCCCGGGAAATAGGGGATCATGGGGCCCCTGTGTCCTTGCCCAAACTCAAAAAAGCCTATGAAAAAGGTACCAGGGGCATCTCATGGGGCCCCTACTGACCCCGGGGCCCTCGGGCAGTGCCCGAGTTTCCAAATGGTCAGTCCACCCCTGGTCCAGTGGGAGTTGAAGATGGCTGCTTAACTTGGCGCTCCGCTTGCCTTCCACCTCCAGAGGTGACACAGCAACATTCAGGGACAGGTTCTTTGCCCAACTCCTCCACAACCAGATGAGATGTCTAAGCGCATCATAGCCAGTTAAACCTCTTCAGCGGCTCACACACTCACAGACTGGCCAACAGCCAGCATGATAAGCAAGATGGCACCGACTGCAGCTTGGGTGGATCGTCTTGTGCTCACAGCGGTTTCCATACTAAGCTCAGCATGGCAGAGACAACCTCCAAGACACAGGTGAGTTCTCTCCCCCCTCCATACCCACCACATATACAGCCTTACCAAGTCCAGACAGAGGAGGACATTATACCTGCCTCTCAGGGCCAGGATGTCATGCGGGAGGACATACAGGATGTGCAGGATAGGCCCTCCACAGAAACCTTTCCTGCTATAGATCAACCTATCTCGGAACAATCCATGAAAAATATGTTGCTCTCACTGAGGTGCATTTTGTGTATTGATTTTTCAGAGATACTGGCTACTCTTACTGATACAGTGGAAACCCATGGTGACAAAATACAGCGTATTGAAAATAAAATGATGGATCTCTGCTCAACGCATAATGACATGGTGGATGCCTATACAGGGCAAGACACTGAAATCTAGAGGTTACAATCTAAAAATCAGTGATCTGGAAGATCGCTCCCAGTGGAACAATGTTAAGTTTAGAGTAATTTATGAGTCAATTTCTGCTGCTGACCTTACAACCTTTATTCAGAACCTCATGAATGCTCTTGTCTCTTCCCTCAGTGATCTTGAGCTATGTATTGACATAGCTCATAGGATTCCCAAGCTTAGGTTCCTCCCTGACATCGCACCTACTCTGATAGATACTCTGACACATATCCATTTCTTTCATGTGAAAGATCGTATTGTGCTGGCAGCAAAGCAGAGTCCAATGTATCCCAACCAGGGGCGGACTGACAACTCATGGGGCCCCCAGGCAATAGGGGATCATGGGGCCCCTGTGTCCTTGCCCAAACTCAAAAAAGCCTATGAAAAAGGTACCAGGGGCATCTCATGGGGCCCCCTCCTGACCCCAGGCCCTCGGGCAGTGCCCGAGTTTCCAAATGGTCAGTCCGCCCTGATCCCAACACAGCTCTTCTAATCTAACTTTTCACCTTGGAAGAACAGTTGGCTTCCATCTCCCAACCTTTTTCCTTTCTGCAGATTTCCTCCACTATTAAATTGCTTCCCTGCCATGAGTCCCTGGGGGAAGATGGTTTTTCTATTGAATATTATAAAAACATGGCTGATTTTGTTGGTCCCCACTTGCTAGCAATTTTCAATCTGGCTACTTCCTCTGCTTGTCTCCCACCTGAAACGTTGCATGCTGTAACTGTGACAATCCCCAAAGAAAACAAAGATCCTACTATAGTTAAGAATTATAGACCAATATCACAGACATAAAAATCTTTGCTAAATTGCTTGCTCTTAGCCTACAATGTGTACTGACCTTTCTTATTCACCCAGACCAAGTGGGTTTCGTCCCGGGCCCCCAAGCCCGGATGGAACTAGGCAGCTTTTAAATCTTATTACACATGCTGGATTCTTACGAAGACCTTCTCTGCTACTTTCCTTAGACGCACAGAAGGCTTTTAATAGAGTCCACTGGGGATTCATTGAACAGGTTTTTTGTAACTTTGGGATCAATGGATGGTTACAATCTGCTATTTTATCCCTTTACTCATCCCCCACAGAAAATGTCCTTACCTCAGGCATCCTGTCTGACATGGTACAAATCACTAATTGAAACATCAGCGGTGTCTCCTCTCTCCGATTATGTTCACATTACTTTTGGAACTCCTATCAGAATGTTTTCGGGTAAACTCACACATTACACATATCTCTATGTCTGGCCATGAACATAAGAATAGCTTATTCGCAGATGATGTCACGCTCATAGTGTCCTGACCCTAGGACCTCCCTCCCAGAAATTCAGGACATCCTCGTTTAATTTATTGTAGCATTAAATGCCACTAAATTACAGATATTAGGGCTGAATATCCCAAACCATCTTTGAACCTACCTACTTAAGCAATTCCCCTTTGTGTGGGCTTCGAAATCTATCACCTTTCTAGGCATCCAACTCCGGTTCACTGTCTCTCGGATATTCTAATACAACTTTAAGCCATTCTTAACATCCCTCCCCCAAGCCTTGGCCTTACTTAAAGCTCAGGAACTTTCTAAAGCAGGCAGGCTAGCAGTGTTAAAAATGCTAATACTTCCCAAACAACTACTTTATTTATTTTGCACCCTTACTAGTTACCACCCGCCTTCCCCCACACTCTCCAAAAAACTTTTGTTATATTTGGGGTTATAAACCACCTAGATGCTTCCATACTATAATGATGAGGCACAGATAGAACGGTGGCATGGTTGTACAGGACATCACCCACTATTGTATAGCTTGTGCCTTGGACCAACTGCACCAACTGTCCCCCCCCCCCCGAACAACAGCAACATATGGTCACATATGCAATTCTCCCTTGCCCCATACTGTAAACTACATTCCACTTTCATAGCACTTAAAATGGGTCTACCCTGCAGGTCCTTTACTTTCCCAACAATAAATACATCCCTGAAAATTTGGTCTTTATTACATTTAGCTCCACCTTCCACATCTATGCATAAACTTTCTGTACCAATAGAAGTACTGCAGCACTTCATTCCTAACTTTGAATGAAGTGCTTGGCAGACTCATGGGCTTACCCTACTATCTGATCTATATGTGCATTACACACTGTGCACCTTTGGGAATATCTGCTTCCAATACAGGGGCGGACTGACAACTCATGGGGCCCCCGGGCAATAGGGGATTATGGGGCCCCTGTGTCCTCGCCCACACCCAAAAAAGCCTATGAAAAACCAATGAAAGGTACCAGGGGCATCTCATGGGGCCCCCTACTGACCCTGGGCCCTCGAGCAGTGCCTGAGAGCTCAAATGATCAGTTCGCCCTTGTTCCAATATCACCTAGCTCACTAGGACCTTTTTCTATATGTTCACCTTAGCTCTTTCCACTGTATACATCCCCTGTAAAGTGAGAGGTATCTCTTTATTTGATAATTTTTGTAATGATAATGCTGTTTTCACCAAAACTATCACTATGTACAGTATAGGTGGAGTAGGGATCTGGGAATGATCTCCACTTCAACTTCTTGGCAATGGGCCCTGACTGCTACTTACACTTCCTCACACTGTACAAACCACTGGGAACGGTTTCAAAAAACAGTCCTTCGCTGGTACCTCATCCCCTATAAACTTTCAAAAATTTACCCTTCTCGCAGTGTCTCGTGTTGGATGCAGTGCAGGGAGGTTGGTACCCTGTATCATGTACTGTGGCTCTGTAAATCTCTTAGACCCTACCGGAACAAAATGTTTGTGCTCACTTCTGACCTTCTAGGTTTTAATATTTCTCCTGACCCCTCACTAGCAATACTTCACATAGGTATTGATACCTTCCCTTCACACGTTACACATCACTAGGCTCTGGAATACTTCACAAAACCCGGTCCTTACATATACTGTAAACACTCTCAACCACCAATGGAAAAACTGCTGTCTATAAGGAATTTAACCTGTTTGAAATTTTGCAAACAATGGACTATTTGGTTGAGGAAATCCAACTGTATTAAGGAGTATTATTGCCTCTGGGCAGCACAGTGGCTTAGTGGCTAGCACTTCTGCTAGGTTAAATTCCTAATAGACAGCACTTCTGCCTTGCAGTGATTGCGTCATGGGTTCGATTGCCAACCATAGCGCCTCCTGCATGGAGTTTGCATGTTTTGCGTGGGTTTCCTCCGGGTGCTCCGGTTTCCTCCCACACTCCAAAGACATGCTGGTAGGTTAATTAGCTCCTGTCTAAATTGTCCCAGTTTCATCCCTGGCTATGCGGGAGCTCCTGCATGGTAGGGATTGGGGAAAGACCTGGCAACCTACCCTGTAAAATAATTGCTAAGAGAATTCATGGAGTGATGGTCTATGCAATCGCCAAGGGTCGGATACGACTGAATGGAGAGATAGATTATTGCCTCCCCAACTAATAGTGCTGTCATGTTGTTACCTAATATACAAATTTGTAGTGTGTCATTGTCATACTGACTGGCTCTGGTTTGTTCAGTAGTTTCTCTTTTCCCCTTCCCTTCTTCTTCTCTTTGTCTGATCCTGGCTCCCTTCCATCCATCCCCTCCCTTTCTGGCTCCTTCCCTCCTTCCTCTTGAGGTAAGGTTGATATTGGTTAATGAATAAGCTAAGTGTATTTCTATGTATTCTTTGCCAATGTCATCCATACCATGTTGGTATCTCTGCTCCACTGCTTGCTATTACATTGATTCCCCTCTTGTCATGTTACTATATGGTTTATTACTAATAAAGAACTAATGAAATAAAAAAATGCAGCCCAGAGTTGGGCTTTAATACATCACTGGTTGCTAACATCACCTAAGACTGTGATCTCATCAATGGTTATCTTAAACTGTCTACAAATAATAAACTTCAGAGCTTAGGCAATTGAGCAGATTATTGATTCCTGCAACATTGTAGCTTATAACTAAACTTTTTATTAACAGCTCAGACATTTACTATGAACATCTATCTTTTATGTCTAGCACTGTTATGACACTTCCAATAACATTGTCAAATGTAAGTTTTTCTAGTTCAGCTGAGCTGATCCATTGGCTAGCTGTGAAAACTTTAAGTCATGGCTGGGCACAGGAAAGTCTACATGAAGGAAGAAACAGCATTTAGGCACTGTTGGCCAATATGACATATGGACAATGAGTAATGGACATAACAACAAGATTAGCATATGTTAGAGGATGCACAAGCATATAACCTAGTTATTTAATAAATAAATATTTGAATAAATATTATATATTGAAAAAAGAGCTGCTATTGTTCCCATAGATCATATGTTAAATATAATGTACAACTTCATTTCATGT